CCCCCCGATCGGTTCTGTCTGGCCTGTAAGAGGATCGACGTAAAGAGTTCTGTCGATGCTGTGCCAAGAATCTTCAACTTGAACAGACAATCACAAATCCTATAGACAAAGCCATGAGGTTCGTTTCATATTTACATCTAGATATATCTAACTCAGAGACGGGTTAATGTAGTGGGCAATGTGGTTTCCTCTCAGACAGCATTCGAAGTGGCTCTGCAGGGGAAATAATCCAAGATGTTTTCAGGAATCAAGCAACTACAGTGAGGTCAAAAATTCGTGGCGCAACTTATTATCAAATTATATTTCCTGAACTATCGAGCGTAGACTCCACACTTTTGTCCGGTCAAAATTTCGTGGCGCAACCTATTGTCAAATATTTCCTAAGCTGTCGAACATACGCGCGCACACACACACACGCACACACATATGCACACACACACACACACACACACACACACATATGCACACACATACACACACATATGCACACACACACACACACATATGCACACACATAGACACGCACATATGCACACACGCTACTTGTTTAGGTACCCAAGCATCTCGTTTTTCAGTTGTATTTCTTGTAATGCTCTTTGAAAAATCATATTATCTCCAGTATGTGGATCTGAGCCCATTCTTGCAGTACGTAAGGACTCTCAGTTTTTGTTTTTTCTTAATTTATGGTTTACTAGTATACTGTTATACTGTTCCAGAAACCATGTAAATACTTTCAGTTTCGTTTTTGTTCTTAAGTTATGGCATACTATAATACTATTTGGGCCGCCATATAAAGACTTTCAGTTTTGTTTTTTCCTAAATTATGGCAGGTCAACACTGTTCTAGCTACCATGTAAATATAAAATGTCTGGTACCACAGAGTACCATGGTTACTGTTTTAGACGGCCGCCCATGTAAATATAGAATGTCTGGTAACATAAAATACCATGGAAACTGTTTAAGTCGGCCACCCATGTACAAATAAAAAATGTCTGGTAGCATCAAGTGCAATGAAAATATCTTAAGACAGCTACCCATGTAAAAATATAAAATGTCTGGTGACACCAAATACCATAGAAACTGTCTAATGCCGCCCATGCAGATGTAGAATGTCTGGTAATATCAAGTATGGAAACTGTCTTAGACGGCTACCCATGTAAATATAGAATGTCTGATAGTAACAGGTACCATGGAAACTGTCTAAGTGGGTCACCTTGTAAATACAGAACGTCTGGTAACTTCAAGTACCATGAAAACTATTTAAGTCGGCCTCCCAAGTAAATATAAAATGTCTGGTAGCATCAAATACCATGGAAACTGTCTTAGACGGCCACCCATTGACGAGAAGAAAATGGACCGTCCTAGACTGGTGGTCGTCTTACACAGTGCCAATGTGATCTTAAAGATACACACGGGAGGAAACGGGAAATAGCCGTTTGTACAGGTGATTGTCTTAGACTTATACAGGTAACCGTTAGTGCAGGCTCCACTGTAGTCGCTTGTAACCTTGTGACAAGCTGGGGAAGTTGTTGCAGACAGAGGGTTGTGGAATTCATCTTTTCATCCGTCTGAAAACTTTGTAAGAAAATCCTGTTCTGAATATTTACATTTCTCAGAGCGAACACAGGATTTTTTCCACCTCGGTTTTATGTGTATATGTGTGGTGTATTACATCCCGTACATACATGGGTGCATATATGTTGCGTGTTCATTCCTGCGTGCCTGTATGTGCGCGCGCGGGCGCGCGCGCGCGCGCGTGTGTGTGTGTGTGTGTGTGTGTGTGAGTGCGTGCGTGCGTGCGTGCGTGC